TGTCTCCCCATCTTTTTGTCATGAAGTGATGGGGCCAGATGCCATGATCTTAGTTTTCTGAGTGTTGAGCTTTAAGCCAACTTTTTCACTCTCTTCTTTCACTTTCATCAAGAAGCTCTTTAGTTCTTCACTTTCTGCCATAAGGGTGGTGTCATCTGCATATCTGAGGTTATTGATATTTCTTCTGGCAGTCTTGATTCCAGCTTGTGCTTCATCCAGCCCAATGTTTTCTCATGATGTACTCTGCATATAAGTTAAATGCAGAGTTCATTTAGTACCTTCAACAACACTTATTTACTATCTCACACTTTATATAGGTGAGAAATCTGGGTACTTTGTAGCGAGGCTTTCTGTTCAACATCTCACCTGGCAAAAATCAAGATGCTGGCTGTGTTCGCTCAGTTCTTATCTGAGACTTAGCACCTTCTTCCATGCTCACTACTTGTTGGCAGAATTTCCTTGTGGCTATATGACTGGAGTCACCATCTTCTTTCCAGCTGTTGGCAAGACTTTCTCAGTTCCTTACCACATGTTCATATAGGCATTTTCATATCATGGCTTTTTGCTTTCATCCAGGCAAGCAAGTGCTAAGTTGCTCTGGCTTCCTGTCTTTGTCCTCTGGACTCCCTCATGAGACTCCTTTTAAAAGCTGATCTAATTAGATCAGACCTACTCAGGATGATCTTCTTTTTGATGAATTCAACTGATTAGGGACCTTAAGTACATATGCAAAAATCTATTTGCCATATAACAATCACAGGAGTGATATCCCATTATAATCACAGGTCTCTCCCACACTGGAGGGTTGCTTATGAGGGTGAGTCACTGTGGTTTGTTAGAATTTTGCTTGCCATGGGGACAGAAGTATCTTTACAATTTAGAATCTTTATGTACAAGAAGACCACTTAGGCAAAGCAGTAACCCCACTTGTTTACTCACACTTGTTTTGTCTTCATGCTTTTTCCTCTTTATATTTCCTGGTACCTCAGTTGAAGTGCCTCCCTCTACAAAAAGATTTTATTGCATATAGAGGAAATTAAAAATAAAAATTAAAAATTTAAATAGAAAGGCAAAAAAAAAAAAGGGGGCAGTGGAGATTATGCAATTCTCATTATTGCTCAATACCTATTGTTTTACTCATTTTAGGGATGAGATTGAATCTCATGGAAGTTAAGAAATTTAAATGACTAAGATCACCCTCCTATTAAGTGGCAGGTAGATTCATAAACTTATTACATCAGACAGTTGCTGTGGTATGATTGGTCCAGCTGCTTATGAAGAGAGAATTATGAAAAAGAATAATTATTTTAAATGGAGTATAGATAGTGAAAAGTGTTAGTTGCTCAACCATGTTGAGTAGGTTAGTTGCAAACCTACTCTTTGCAACCCTGTGGACTGTAGCCCACCAGGCTCCTTTGTTCATGGAATTCTTCAGGCTTGAATACTGGAGTGGGTTGCCATTTCCTTCTCCAGGGGATCTTCCCTACCCAGGGATCAAACCTAGGTCAATTGGTGGACAAAGAGGGGAGCAAAAATTGGTCATGGTATATTGGAGGTTTCACAGTCTAAGCAGCAAAATATCTTCAGAACAAGGCAATTAGGACAGTTTTAGTTAAGAATAAGATTTAGAGACTATAACCAGCAGTTAAAATTGTTCAGGAGATATAGCTAAATTTCTTAATAGAGAGGTGATAAAGTCAGGGCTTGGCAGATCTTTGTTAGCTGAATTAAAATATAAGTCTATAGAATTTATATGATCCTTGCTACTGTGACATTGTAGGGAAAAGAAGGAAGCAGAGAACTAAGAGGATGCTCTTGCATAAGCCTAGGAGAGAGATGATTCTTGAGGTGGGAATAAGGATGTTTCTACAGAGAAGAAGGGATCAGTTTTCTGTCATTTTGGTAGTCAAGAGGACAGGATCCCAACTTTCTGAGTTTTAGTGCTAAAAGAAACCTTGTTGTTGACAAATGTGATTCGTTTTAATTGAGCTTTAAATAGGTCATAGGCCAGTTGGTTTTATAGAATCTTTTCTGTGTACTAATTCACACCTTATTGCTTCTTTCAAGTTTCTTCCCCTTCCTTTTCTATGTTCTTGCCAGTTAGTGCTTAAAGAACAGTCAGTCCTACCTTCTTTATAAATATACATTCCTTTGCGCTATGAGCCTAAATGATACACTAGTTAGTCCTCCAAATTTCTCTATAGAGTTTTGCTGCAATTAAACAGCTCTACAGATGGCTTTTAAGTTACTAGAAGCCCAAAGTTACAAAAACATTTTATGTTGTGATCCAGTACAAACACACACACAATGGAAATAACACTTAACCTTTATGTAGTACATGCTGATATATTATATATATATTTGAAACTAAGAATGCTGATTGCAGCTCACCTATGTGATTTACAGCAACCCTTTCACTTGGCTGAATTATAATCTCATTGGTAATTGGAAGAGTGTAAAGTAAAACCAAACCATAAGAAATCATTTCACTTCCATCAGATTGGCAAATACTAAAAATTCTGATAATAGCGAGTGTTGTGAGAACGTGGGGAAATTAGCCTACCACTTTTGGAGGGACATAGTCATTTTGTAAAAGAAAGTGACTTTTGTAGTAGTAGAATACATGTACCGTAACCTAGTAATTATGTTTTTGTCTTTTTATTCCTAATGAGAGAAATTCTTGTATGCTGGGATATGTGAACAAAAATGTTTGCAATAGCCAGAATTTAGCAACAAAGTGTTCATCATTCTACCACTGTTTTTCAAATACCAGTGGTGATTTTCAGATGATAAAATAATCTTGATTTGTAGGATAACCTCACTTAGTCACAGTGTATTATCTCTTATATTTAATGTTTTGCTAGAATTTGGAGATATTTTTTCATCAGCAATATTATTTTGTAGTTTTCTTTTGTTGTAAAGTCTTTGTCTTTGTTGAAAGATCTTGTCCAGTGTTCCTTGACTGGTAGAATTAATCAGTGATACTGTTTGGACATAAATTTTTTTCTTTTTTTGTAGGGAGACTTTTAGTAGTTCAAATTCTTGTTTGTTTTTAATTGCACATAGATTTTGTTTCATCTTATGTCAGTTTTGGTGTATTTTTAAAGAAGTTTGTTGACATTAATTGTGTTGGAGAAGACTCTTGAGAGTCCCTTGGACTGCAAGGAGATCCAACCAGTCCATCCTAAAAGAGATCAGTCCTGGGTGTTCATTGGAAGGACTGAGGTTGAAGCTGAAACTTCAATACTTTGGCCACCTGATGCGAAGAGCTGACTCACTGGAAAAGACCCTGATGCTGGGAAAGATTGAGGGCAGGAGGAGAAGGGGGCGACAGAGGATGAAATGGTTGGATGGCATCATCGACTAGATGGACATGAGTGTGCGTAAACTCCAGGAGCTGGTGATGGGCAGGGAAGCCTGGCGATGGACAGGGAGGCCTGGTGTGCTGCGGTTCATGGGGTGGAAAAGAGTCGGACACAACTGAGCGACTGAACTGAAGCTACTAAATTTGTGGTACCTCGCTATACATAAAAAGAAAAGCAATACAATCCAACGGAGAAGGCAATGGCAACCCACTCCCGTACTCTTGCCTGGAAAATCCCATGGACGGAGGAGCCTGGTAGGCTGTGGTCCATGGGTTGCTATGAGTCGGACACTACTGAGCGACTTCACTTTTCACTTTCGTCCATTGGAGAAGGAAACAGCAACACACTCCAATATTCTCGCCTGGAGAATCGCAGGGACGGGGGAGCCTGGTGGGCTGCCATCTATGGGGTCGCACAAGAGTCGGACACAATAGAAGCGACTTAGCAGCAGCAGCAATACAACCCAAAAATTTTCATTTTAGTGATGAGGAAAGTAAGGCTGCAAGAGCGACACCCCAAAGATCAAAAACCTAGGAAAAGTTTAAAATAACTTCAGTCCCGGGTTCTCTTCCTACCACAGCCCCCTTAAGGCTTTAAGAGAGTCATTCAAATCAACAGTACTTGTATACTGTGTTCAAAGGAAGCAATTCCAGCAACATTTTCCATATGGAATAGAATAACAATTTTCCATATTTCACATCTATTTAAATACCCCTAAGTTTCGCCAGAATATCAAAACTAAAGTGGATATTGAGGAATTTCCAATCAAAGTAGTTTGGTTGTTAAAATGACCATTGACAGACCACCAGAGTAAATTTAATGTACGTTTTGAAATATAAAGAAAAAAATTATAGCAAAACTCTTTGTCGGTTTTTCCAGTACTTTATTTAGATAGCAAACTACTTGTGTTACAACTATTCTCAAAAACTGAAAGCATGTACACAACCTTCCCGAACTTTTCGCTATTTCCTCCCTGGTGCAAATTTTTTTAGCCTGAATTTTTCGTACAGTATGAGTACAAGGTACACTATTCAATACAATACACAAGTTGTTTTTATTGTCACTGTTCTGAATCTTTACTTTTCTAAGTGCTTCACCATCAGAATTTGCAATTTTCTTAAAAAGGCACATGAAAATCTAAAAGATGGAGTCAAATACCACGTAAGTCACAAATCACACAAGTTTCTTTATGCCATGTCAAATACTTTGATAAACACCACGTTCGCGGAGATGGAAAAAAAAAACTCTAGTCACAACCACGAGAATAAACTATACACATCATCTTAACATCGACTAACAGCAAATAATTCGCTATCGTCGCATACAAACAGCGTTGTTTTGAATCTGTAAGTGTCCAAAACCATCCCCCGCTTTACACTCCCGGGGCACGATTCTCTGCAATATGAACAGAATCGGTAACATTTCAAATGTAGGTAGACAAGGTGACGTGACAATCCTAAAACCTGAAAATTTCTTAGTCCCCACAACACACAAGAAGCACCCAGTCTGGACTCTCCAATCGAGGCCCAGGTTCAACTCCAAGCACTCCCGTTTCCCAGCTCTTCACCCCGCCCCCACCCCGAGAAAGGAGGGAAAACAACTTTTATTGGCCTCGTCTCCCGGGGGGCTGGAAAACTAGCGGGGCAGTGCTCCGGCCTGGACACGTTTCACAAGGAGGCCTCCGTCGGGGGCGGGGAGGGCAGATAGCGGGAAAGCCCGGCTTTGACGTCCCCTCTGCCCCAGGCGCCAGCCCCCCGCTCCTCCCCACTGCGAAGAGGCCTGGGCCGGTCGCCTCGCCGAGCGACCCCCAGGCCCCTCAGCCGAGGGGAGCTCGTTGTCATGTGACGACGCCGCCGCCGCTAAAAGACCGGAGAAACGCAGGGCGGCGGATGGCATTCGCACCAGCCCGCCTCGGCCCGGTCCCGCCGGGCGCGGGCGAGTCCCGAGAGTCCGGGCGGGGGGGCGGAGGGCGGGCTTGGCGGCGGGCCCCAGCGCGCCACAAAGGCTTCCGCGCCCGTCGCCGTAGTGCCCGAGCGGGCGGGGGCACAATTTTCGGGGCCCGCGAGAGGGGTGCGGAGCGACTAGGGTTCCGGGGTGCCCGCCGCGCCCACAGCCGTCCCCGCTGGCGCCCGGACGGCCGGCGACCGCCGCGCCCCGCACAGGCCTGCGCGGCCTCCCTCCCCCGCGCGGGGCCCGCGCCCGGCCCGCCCGCTCTCCGCTCGCGCTCTCTCGCTCTCGCCCGGCCTCCATCTTGGATCGGCGCTTCCAGCCCCCGCGCCGCTGCCGCCGCATTCCCCCTCTTTCCCGCCCCCCGCCGCCGTCGCCGCCGCCCGCGCTCACCTCAGCTGCCCATCCGGGCACCGCCGGCCGTCGACCTAGTTTCCCCCCAAAAGTCTCCGGTGTGTTATTCCCGATGTGGGGGGGTTGTTACGGGGTGGTCGCCGGGGGTTCGGGAGCGGGGGCCGCGCCTTCAACGGAGCTGCAATCCTAACCCGCCATCTGGTGGCATTTTCCACACGCCAATGGCGCCGCTGCAGACTTGGGTCCGGACCGCCCTCTGCTGGCCGCGGTGCTTACTGCCTCGCTGACGGGACGGGCCTGCCCGGAAAGGGGAGGGCGCTGAGGCGCGAGCTGGGGGCCGCGGCGGGGACGCGCGCGAACGCCTCCCTGTGGGGATTGCGCGCACGCGCACCAGCGGGGCGGGAAACGTGGCCGCTGCGTGGCGGCCCGGCCCCCGCACGGAGCGCTGGCCCAGCTCAGCCAATCGCAGGCGGCGGATCCCTCTCCGTGAGAGGGCTGTGGACTGTTCGTGGGCCGCCCGAGGCGGGCGGAAGGATGGCTGCGGTGGCGCCTGCGCGCCCCGCTAGCTGAGTTGCCGCCCGCCATTTTTGGAGCTTTTCCGAGACTTGGGAGGGAAACCCGCCCCTGGCCCCTTCACCGCGGCCCCTCCCCAGGTCGCGGGACTAGCGCACCCCCGAAGCCCCGCCCGGCCCTGCTGCCCTCATCTGCCGCCTCTGCGGAAAAGCGGAGGGGTGGCAGCGCAAAACCACGCTCCCGCCACTCCTGGTGTTAACAAGGGCCTCGGAGCTTAGCATTGTACGAGCGATTTATTGTGTGATGTTGACGAGGTGCTTTCCCGGACGAGAGTGAAAAGGTTTTGAGAGCTGTTTGGGACCTCCCTCGCCGAGCATCTAGATGCAACACTCCGCGCCCCAGGCCGATTGGCGTCGTCACTGCCTCTAAAGCAGATCCTTTCCGTGGTGCCGGCTTTGCATAAGGCGGCAGCATTGGCTAGTTAGTGAGAAAAGAATGTAAGTAGATTGAGAAAATATAGCTTCCGCTTTGGAATCAGATTTCTCCTTCCACAGCCTGGGACTACTCTCAGTAGCTCTGAAATGGACGGGAGAATCCTAGCCGTTTAGCTGCCAAGAGGGGAACAATTGACTAGCGTGAGATCATGACCAAAATATGCCTTTGAATGTCGCCTTTTCCCTACTCTTCCCACCCCCACCCCCACCCCCCTGCCTCTGCCAGATCGTGGCTCCTACCTTTCACCCACTCAAAACTTTGAATACAAAAGTGAATCCTTAATCTCCCAGGTCATCAGCCCCATTTATGACTGAATTCTCTTGTTACTGTAGCCAGCCAGCTCTATTTCTGTATTGCCTTAGAATCGCTCTACTCTTATAGTCTTAAGGGCCAGTCTCCAATAAATTATCCCTATTTTTGATTTCTCTCTCAAAGGTCACACTGTGTGGTTTTTTCACTGGAGGAAGCCCCAGTTCTACCTGGTTGGCTATGAAGTCGTGACTGCACTCCCGCTTTGTATATATATATCTCCCACTTTATATATATATTATATATATAAACTCATCTTTGGGTGAATTCCTATCATATTCTCTACAGATTGCTTCTCATTTTCCTTGTTAAGGTGCCAGTCCCAATCCATACTAATAGATAAAATCATCTGGTTAACAAGGATCAGAGCCATGGAATTCCAGTTTGATAGTCTTTCCATCTTAAAATACTTGTTGACATGCCATGTTAATGACCTTTCAAATTCTCACCAAATTAACCCATTCTGCCCCTCGCCTTCTCTCCAAAATTAGTGCTTCTTCCAGGACTTCCTATGTCGTCCATTCCTATTTCCTCCTTCCACCACTACTTTCCTAGGATCTTATATCTTCAGTATCTTAGCCATTGGCTTCTTTCCGTTTTTCAACAGTTTCCAAGGGCTTTTTAAAAATTTTACTACTACCTCCAGTTACTATAATATCAATCTTCTTTTCACTGTCACATTTCTTAGAAGTAGTCTCCTGCTTTCACTTCCACCTTATTCCTGACCTTTTATCAATCTAACCCATAATGGCAAACTGAATTTACACTTTAAAGTCACACAAGTTCTAACTTCCAACCATTTTCTCATCCTCTTTTTTTTTTGGCACACCCAATCCTTATCCCCTTCTTGAAACCCTGTGCCCCCCTTTTTAAGACAATTCCTGGAATCTACAACCTACCTAGTTTTCTGGTCTTTGTATTCCTTTGCTAGTGCCTCCTCTTTCTTCCAGCCCATAAGTCAGCTCTTAGCTCTCTGTGGTGTTCTCTCCTACATTATTGCCCTTCAAAAGTCTCTTTAAATTACGGTCTGTTCCTGATTTTTCCCTTAGCATTCCTCATATTCAGCCTTCTTGCCAGGAAGCTCCAGTGCAAAAGTCAACATTTAAAATAATGAATCTTTCTTATTCAAGTTTCTGATTCCTCTTAGTAGCTTTGTAATATCAGATACATTCAACTTTTATCTATTTGATAAGAAAGAGTAAAAGTCATTCAGTCATCTAACCCTATTGACTGTAGTCCATGGAATTCTCCAGGCCAGAATACTGGAGTGGGTAGCCTTTCCCTTTTCCAGGGGATCTTCCCAACCCGAGGATGGAACCCAGGTCTCCCGCATTACAGGTGGATTCTTTACCAGCTGAGCCACAAGGGAAGCCCAAGAATACTGGAGTGGGTAGCTTATCCCTTCTCTAGCGAATCTTCCCAACCCAGGAATCGAACCGGGGTCTCCTTCATTGCAGGCGGATTCTTCACCAACTGAGCTATCAGGGAAGCCCAAGATAAAGTAGAAAGTTTAAGTTTAGTCGCTTAGTCATAGCCAACTCTTTGCGACCCCATGAACTGTAGCCTACTAGGCTCTGTCCATGGGATTTTCCAGGCAAGAGTACTGGAGTGGGTTGCCATTTCCTTCTCCAGAGGATCTCCCCAACCCAGGGATCAAACCCAGGTCTCCCACATTTAGGCAGATGTTTTACCTCTGAGCCACTAGAGAAGTCTATAGGTCCTATAACAAGTTGACTTTGTTGCAGAGCCATATGTTTCCCAGGAGCCCCTGCTTTCATGAAATTCTTAACCAAGAGTCCAAAGATGTCAGCAACAGTTTTCAAATACCACAATTTTCATTAACAGCTTCAAGTTAGAGGTATGAACAAAAATGTCAAAAAGAATACCTGGAACTAGTGTGGATAGAGCTAAGGATTCTTCAGTATTATTTGGGGTAGGGAGTAAAGTATCAATAGAACAAACATTTGCTTAGTCCAAGTTTCTTGGTGCCCTTTGGAATTTCTACCTCATCGTTAATTTCAAATGATCTGAAATGAGACCTGACCCACTTTGAAGATTCATGTTGATAGGTTAGTTGTCTAAAGAAGAAGCTCATGCCTATTAGACTTTTGTTTCAACTCAATCTCATAGCCAATCTGGTCCAAAAGTATATAATACATAAAATACTAAATTTGAAAGTTATTATTATAAATTTTTAATTGCATTACAGAATTACATGTAAATGTAATATAAATACTTTACAGAATATATCGTTAACATTTATTAACCAACAATGTGAAGAACTTTGCCTTATAAAAAGCTAACTTGTGGCTATTTAGATGGCAGAACTCCTTTTAAATTTTGGCTGAACTTACATCTTTTTCCTTTCTGGATAATTTTAGTATGAAGAATATTTCAAAGTTATTCCATTGACCTTAGAGTCCTGCTTAAAGTAAAAGACACTCAGCCAACTTGCTTCATGACAGTAATGATTGCATTCCTTTCACAGAAGCCTTTTTTTTTAATGACTTTTTTTTTAGAGCACTGTTAGGTTCACAACAAAATTGAGCGTGCACACATGTATAGCCTCCCCTGTAATCAACATCATTCACCAGAATGATACAGTTGTTACTGAGGATAAACCTATATTGACACATTATAATCACTCAAAGTCCTCAGGCAATTCCCCAGCATTCACTGTTAGTATTGTACTTTCTGTGAGTTTGGACAAATGTGTAGTGACATATGTCCATCATTATAATAGTTTTGTTTTTTTTTCATTGCCCTAAAAATCCTCCATGCTCTGTTTACTCATCCCTCCTCTTCCCTCATCCCTGGCGATCACTAATTTTTATTGTCAAATGGATAGGTTGCCTTTTCAGTGGCTTCTCTCACTTTGTAATATGCATTTTAGCCACTTCCATGCCTCTTCCATGTTTTTGGATGGTTTAATGGCTCATTTCTTTTTAGAGAATAATTCATTGTCCAGATATACCACAGTCTTATTTATTCATTCACTCACACACACGTACTGAGGGGCCTGTTGTTTGCTTCCATGTTTTGGCAATTATGAATAAAGTTCCTGTGGACTTCCACAGGAAGTCACTGGAATCCACTTCCAGTGGCTAAGTGGTAAAGAATCTACCTGCCAATGCAGGAGATGCAGGTTCAATTCCTGGGTCAGAAAGATCCCCTGGAGAAGAAAATGACAACTCATTCCAGTATTCTTGCCTGAGAAATCCCATGGACAAAGGAGCCTGGTGGGCTACAGTCCATGGGTCACAAAGAATCAGGCACAACTGAGTCACTAAACAACAACAAACATTCTATATAGGTCTTTCTGCAGACATAAGTTTTCAGCTCCTTTGAGTAAATACAAGGAGTGTGATTGCTGGATCACATGGTAAGAGTATCTTTAGTTTTGTAAGACATTGCCAAACTCTTCCAAAGTGGCAGAACTATTTTGCATTCCCACGAGCAAAGTAAGAGAGTTCCTGTTGCTCCATATCCTCATCAGCATTTGGTGTTGAAAGTGTTCCAAATTCTGGCCATTCTAATCAGTATGTTGTGATATCTCATTGTTGCTTTAATTTGCACTTCTCTGATGGCACATTCTGTAGAACACCTTTTCGTATGCATATTTGCCATTGTGTATCTTCTTTGGTGACATATCTGTTAAGGTCTTTGGCTCATTT